GAGTAGCTGGGACTTACAGGCGCCTGCCACAATGCCCGGCTATTTTTTGGTTGCAGTTGTCATTGTTGTTTAGCAAGTCTGGGCCGGGCTTGAACTTGCCAGCCTCAGTGTATGTGGCCGGTACCCTATCACTGAGCTATGGGTGCCGAGCCTATTTTTTTCCTATGAATGGGCCATACTTACCTGTTTCTTTGTATGCCTTGTTAATTTTTTGTTAAAACCTGGAAATTTTGAATATTACAATGTGATTACTCTAAAATCAAATTATGTCTCCTTCTAGGGGTTTGCTTATTGGTCATTCATTTAGTTACTTTTCCAAACTATTTTTAAAAACCTGTATTCGTTGTCATGTGTGGTGACTGTTATGTTTTTTCCATTATCTCAGTTGTCAGCCAGTGATCTGACAGACGTTTTTTTTAAATTTCTGGAGCCAAGAAGAAAAATCAAATACTCAGTCTTTACAGATTGGCTCTGAGCTAGGATAGTTCTTCAATCTTTAGCATTTAGCCAGGCTGCCTGTATCTGTCTTAGCTTTCACCTCGTGATTTGTACAGAGTCTTAAAATCAAACAGAGGTGAAAGCCTAGTGTCCTTTCAGGTGTTTTCTGAGCTTGTATCCAGTCATGCATGTACACTTTGCTCTTTGGATTTCCCAGTTTGCATGGTATAGACCTTTAAAGCCCTATTCTCCCTACTAGCGTTCTTTTCTGCTTCCACCTTCCTGGCTATTTGGAATAATCTGCTTGCCTCATGCTCCATCCCCAGAATGGTGCTGTGTGTCCCTCATAGCTGTGGATACTTTGTGTCTTTGAATGCTTTTAATTTACCCTAGCCCTAGAAGTCACTTCAGTCTCAGAAGGGTGAAACAAAAGTATACCTCTGCATTTATCTGTTGCGTGAATTGATTGGGCTGGAGGCAGAGGTAAACTAGCAGTCAGAATGTCTTGAAGAGAAGGGGGCTTCCGCTCTCTCAGGCATGCAGAGACCTTAGTTTATTTCTCACTCACTTATATACCCTAACAATAAAGCATTCTGCACGTGCACACATAATCTTAAAATTACAATACAATAAAGTCACAGAAAAGTCACAAGGCTTATTTATCTCTTTTTGCTTCAAGGAACAAAGTATTCATCTGTGAAGAACAGACGTACTCTTTAACTTAGCAGCACGATAACCTTATCTTGATTTACTGCTACTCAGGTCTCTTCCAGGAAGTTCCTGACCACAGCATCCTCTGTTTTCAGTGCCTGCCTTCCACTAGATTTGTTTTTCTAATCTCTCCGGAGGGTCTTCAAAGGAATATCCCTTCCTGCAGAACTTGAGACAGTTTTAATCAAAAACAAAGTTATGGCTTGGCACCTGTGGCTCAAGTAGCTAAGGCACCAGCCACATACACCTAAGGTGGCAGGTTCAAGTCCAGCCTGGGCCTGCCAAACAATGATGGTTGCAACCAAAAAATAGCCGGGTGTTGTGGCGGATGCCTGTGGTCCCAGCTACTTGGGAGGTGGAGGCAGGAGACTCGCTTGAGCCCAGGAGTTGGAGGTTGCTGTGAGCTGTGATG